GGCGCGGGATCGGGCAGTGTTTCGTTCTGCTGTGCATGGGGTCGCTATGAGTCGGAAACGACTCGACGGCACTTAACAACAACAACAACAACATATGCACATGAGTGCTGGGCAATGAATAAGGAAGACTAAAAAGATTTGGTGAAGCGTATTAAATATACCAGGGATGCCAGGAGAATGAACAAATGTGTCTTGGAAAACAACCAGCATGCTTATTAGAAGCAAGGATGACAAGACTTCATCTCACATACTATGGACATGTTATCAGGAAGGACCAGTCCCTGGAGGACATCATGCTTGGTAAAGTAGAACGTCAGCAAAAAAGAGGAAGACTCTCAATGTGATGGATTGACACAGTGGCTGCAACAATGAATTCAAACATAGCAACGACTGTGAGGATGGTACGGGACCAGTGTTTTACTCTGTTCTACGTAGGGTCACTGTAATTTGGAACTGATTCACAGCACCTGACAACAACAACAGATTGTGCCTGCGTTATGCTGGACATCTCATGTACAATATCTAATCATCCTAATAAATGGACAGATATATCTCCATATTAGAGAGGGAAACAAAATCAGAGACATTACTGGAGCTGGGATTTAACCCAAATGTCCTTAACTTTAGAGCACAGGTTCTTACAGTGCCCTGTAAACCCATAAAACGCATTGCCATCAAACTGATTCCAACTCATTGTGACCCTATAGGACAGAATAGAACTGCCCCCAAAAGGTTTCAAAGGCTATAATTCTTTATAGACTGCCTCATCTTTCTCCCATGGAAAGACTGGTTTAGTTTAGCAACCAAGCACTTAACCACTGCTCCACCAGTGCCCTATAGAAACGTTAAAGAACTAATAATAATAATATTATTATTATTGTGATTTGGGTGAAAGTTTACAGAGCAAATTCATATTCCATACAGCAGTTCATACACATTTTGTCTCAGGACATTGACTGCAATACCCTACAATGTAACAGCTCTCTTTCCACCTCCTTCCTGTACTTACTTCTTCCCCATGTCCTTTCCTTCCATGCACTCCCACCCCTCGAGCTGCATCCCTGTGCAATGACTGACCTTCTGTTCTCTCATGGTTGATCTCTCCAAGGAGTGTATCTATCTGATGTACATGTTTAGCCCATATGCCTGTCTGCTATTTGGCTGGAAGCCACAGGAGTAAGTTCAATGCCAGAGGATAGCTAGGGGCCATTGTCTCAAGGGTCTTACCAGGCTCTATCAGACCAGCAAACCTGGTCTTTTTTTTAATGATTATGAGTTTTGTTTCATATTGTTCTCCCACTCTATCCAGGACATCATTCACCTATCTCCTTCTGAGTGGTTGACAGTAATAACTGGGTACCATCTAGTTCTTCTGGTCTCATGGTCATATAGGCTGAGAATCACATGGTCTACCAGTCCCTTGGACTAATTGTTTCCATGTGTCTTTGGTTTTCTTCATTCTTCTTTGCTCTGGATGAGGAGAGACCTATTGTTGTATCTAGATGGCCACTTGCAAGCTTTTAAGATCCCAGTCACTACTCATCAAATCCTATTAAAGTTTTATGGACATATCACTTGAGTTCTGCCATCAACCAAAGCCTGTTTGTTGTCAGCCGCAAGCACTAGGCAACATCAAGGCTCAAGCCTTTATAGCATTAGAAGCCATACAGGAGTTATTGGAACCCCTCCTATGTGTGCTTCAGAACAGGCTTTTTATGTACACAGACTTTCTTAATCAGAAGACAATAAAAGAAAACAAAGACATTTCAGCTACAAAATACATGGCATGCATACTGTACAGAATTACTTTTCCTTTCCTCATAGGAGAAGTCATGGGATTCTCATTTGAAGCTTAGTTTTTTGTTTTGTTTTCACTCATATTTTTAGGTGCAATTCTAATAAGCTAGGTTGTCTGTTTGCTTGAAATCTACTTAAGATGAGAAGGATTAAGTTAGTAAACAGAGAAATGATTTCTCAGACTAATTTCAGGGTGATAGGACAAACATCAGCCTGGGAAAGAAGGAAGAAGGGAGAAATGTAGAAAAACAAAATAAACAAACAAGAAGTCAAATATGTCAGGAGTCTGAATTCATTTGAAGAAGATATACACACTTCAGTAGAACTTGCATTTCATTTTATTATGTTAGCACACACAACAATTATAGTCACTAAGACATAATGAGGAGCTCTGGTGGCATAGTGCCTAAGGCATTTGACTGCTAACCAGAAGTCTGGCGGTTCAAACCCACCAGCCACTCCTTGGAAGGAAGACTGGGCAGTGTACTTCCGTGGAGATACTGCCTCAGAGACCCAAGGAATTAAGCCCAGTATTTGTAATTTTAGAAGGCAGGGTTGTGTAAGCCCAGCTGATGAATACATTTTGAGATTGAGTATTTCTGAAGGAAGCCCCCGCTATGCAAACACAGTGCCAGGTGAATGGATACTGCCTGTTCTGCAGTGTTACGTGAAGCTGCAGGAAGAACATTGCAGTCGGAAAGACGAGTGATGACCTCCAGCTCTGCTACTTTCTAGCTGTGTGGCACTGGGCAAGTCTTTTTGCCTGTCTGAACCTCCATTTTATCTTCTTTCGATAAGTTTTGTTGTTGTTGTTGTTAAGTGCCGTCGAGTCGTTTCCGACTCATAGCGACCCCATGCACAGCAGAACGAAACACTGCCCGATCCTGCGCCAGCCCCACAATCCCTGCTATACCTGAGCCCATCATCGCAGCCACCGTGTCAATCCATCTTATTGAAG